TCTTCTTCTTCTTCTTCTTCTTCTTCTTCTTCTTCTTCTCCTCTTTTCTCCTCTTTCTCCTTCCCATTTCTCTTTCTCCTTCCCTTCTTTTCCTCCATCTCCTTCTCTTTCTTCTCCTCCTTCTCCTCCTTCCCTTTCCTTCCTTTCCCTCTCCCACCTCTCTCTCTGCTTAAAGTTGCCACTTCCTGTTTCTGGAGAGGTTTTTTTTCCCCATCCTGAATATTTGGAGGCATTTTTGAGTTTGTGTGTCTGTGTGTGTGAGTGTGTGTGTGTGTGTGTGTGTGTGCGCTGCTGACCCTTCCAACCCAAATCTTTCCTGAACCTTTCAAGCGCTTGGTGGCCAATTTGAACCTTCATTTTGCAACTTCGCCTCTCTTGCATTTCATTTTCCCCCCACAGGTCACTCGGTCCCCAGCCTAGATTTCTCCTCCTTGACCTGCCAGCCAGCCAGGACCGCCCAAAGACCCCCGCCCAGCTGGAGAAGGTGGCTGCCTTTGGCGGCGGGAAGCGACCAGATCCGTCGTAAGGAAACTCCTTGGTTCTGCCGAGGGACACGCAAACAAAAGAATCCCGCAGACTGAGATTGGCGGGGTGCCCTTGTTTGTGGGCGTTGGGCACCGAAGCAGAGGGTTTCACTCCAACTAGCTTAAAGCGGGGAGATGTCTTCACCCAGTTCAGACCAGGTGGTCTTCAGCTGGTTCAGACCAGTTCGGGCGGACCGGTTGCGGAAGTTTTGACGGGTTCAGAGAACTGGCAAATGCCACCTCTGGTTAACCCCAACCCCTGCCTCTGCCATTATTCTCCTGTAGTCCCTTGTTTTTTAGCTCAGGTAATTCGCGTGGCAAAACGAGTTGCCGCGACTCAACTGAGCTAAAAAACAGCTCAGCTTACCAGCGTTGACAGAGGTCCATCTTTGAACTCTCTCCGCACGCACGAAGCATGCATTAGGTGCACGCGCAAAGCTCAGCTTACCAGCATTGACAGAGGTTGGCAAAGCGCATGTGCATAGAACCGGTAGGAAACAATTTGGAGATGTCCCACCCTTTGGTCATTCAAAAATGACCCCTTTTATCATCCTATAAACCAGCCGCCTCCCCCACAACCCTTTGGGCACCAGTTTTTTTTTTTTTTCATGGACCATCGGGTACCTGGTTTCATGCTTTTGAATGGGGTGGGAGACGATGGGGAGCCCCATTAGGGAGACCAAACCAAGAAAATCCATTCAACAAGAATGATAGTTTGACCCTCGTAATGGAAACTTGCAAATCTGAGACGGTGTCCATCTCCCCCCCCCAATTATACTTGTGTGAATTAGGGAGGTTTATTTTGGTTTTGTCAAACAAAATCTTGCAGGACTGGTTGTGCTCCCGCCCCACTTATACTTCTGTGAATTAGGGAGGTGTCCGTGAAGCATGTATACCTTATTTTGAATTTAAGCCGTGCCTTTTCCCCTTGTTTCTTTGGTAATTAATATTCAATATGCCCAGCTGGTACATCGTCAGGCTGTCGATTGCCTCTCTCTTCCCCTCCCCACAGGTGAAGAGCCCCCTTTCCCAGACCTCATGGAAGGACCCGGCAGCCTGGAGCCGGATAAGGCTGAGGAGCGCCTGGCCACAACGAGCAATGTGGAGGGTACGAGTGGCAGAGAATCAGGGCAATATTTCAACATATCCTGTCTTCCTTCTCCAGCCAGTGCTCTCCAGATCTGTGGGGACAAGCGAACGGTGGTGGCATTCTACTGGTTCGCCCCGGTTCGCCTGAACTGGTAGCTCCAAGGATCATCTGGAAGTGAACCAGTTCACTCTGACGATCAGCTGCTGGGCCTACCCCACCACCCGCCAGGGCTCTATATTGACCTTTTCTCAACTATAAAAAAATACTCCTTTGGTCCTTTTAGTTGCCAGCAGAAAGGGAGTGGGGGAAGCAGTGCATTCCTTAAATGCCTCAGATAATCGCCTTGGCAGCCGAAGCTTCTGGCACGCAAGATTATTACTGGAGAGCATGATGGATGACTCTTGGCTATGAATGTGTCCCATTGGAGAATATACGTCCAGGGGGTGGAGGAAGACCAGGGTCAAGGGGGAAATGAAGGATGTATTTCAGTGTCAGATGCACCCAGCTAACGCTACTCCTAGTAAATCAATTTTTTTTACTTTGAGAGATGCGGCTAGAGACTTATGATTGGAAGGGGGGTGGATTTGTTGGAGGCCTGACACCTTTATTTTCTGCTTTTGAAGCTCAGCTGCTTCGTGTGGCACAGCAGATTGCCACGTGTCAGCTGTTGAACAAACAGGGAGAGTGCAGGATTGGCCACCAAGCCATGCCCACCGAAACGTTGGTAAAACAATTTGAATCCCACCACTGGACAGGAATGTCCACTGGTTTAAGCCTTGGATGAGGCTTCTGGGCATTGTAGTTATCAGGATTCCAGCAATCGCTGTAATTAAATCATGATTCTTGAGCCAAACTTCAAAAAATTGCAAAGGATTCATTGGAGGCGACATACTGGCACTGCCTTGTAAGAAGCCAACTCTGGCATGCGTAATTTCCAGTTCCCTGTGATACTGTTTCCCCCTCCCCCCCTGGGGGTCTCATCAACCAAATTCTTCAATTGAGCCCGTTCACAGGCTGGGTGTCATCATTCACCTTCTCCAATTAAATATATTCATGGGCAAAAGCTCTGGTAGTTTAGTTACAGTCTTTTAAAGATAAGAGTTGGAATGTACTTTCGATTTCAAACTGCTGCACTGCTCTTCCAGATTTCCTTCCTCCCCTCCCCCCTTTTATGGCAACTACTAGAAAAGGCATAGGAATGTTTTATGAGTTGACAGTAGTCACAGCCCAGTTGGAGGGGACCCCATTGGAGAGTTACGGATTACGGGCGAGGTCATTTTCTCTGTAAATTGGGCTCGGAACTGGCCGCATTGGGGCGGTGTTCTATTTCTCACCTGTTCTGGCCTTTCTCTAAAGTCTCTATTCTCCACGCAGGTAAGGATCAAAGCAGCCACCACCTCTGCGCACTCATGAAGCTGGTAAATGAAATCCCAGAGTTCCTTTGCGGACACGCACACATGAGCCTGGATCGATCCACACCTGCTGGGGGCAGCGAAAGCAGAGGGCACGGTGAGTGCACTGTCTGCATGGCTGAGCAGATTTGGGTAAGTTGAAGCCAGAGGTCCCCAACTCCTGGGCCGTGGTCTGTTTGGATCTGGTCCGCACAAGCTGCTGGCAATAAACTTGCAAAACTTGCATGCTGTGGAGGTGGCTGATGAGGAAGAGGAGGAACAGCTGGGCCCAGTGCCTGACGTGCGGATGTGCCGAAAGCAGAGGAGAGGAGAGCAGTGGAAATCTATGGGCCGGTCCTTGGGAAGGAAGAGCCTTCCTGCTGCTAGGCGAAGCCCCACCCGAGCTCTGGGGATGAAAGGCAGGGGGCGGAGATGAATATAGATATGGCAGACAACTATTCATCTCCCTGTCGGACAAACTTGTTAGCCTTTCTGCCATGGCTGCTGTCGCTCCTAATAAAGGAATCATCAGTTGACCCAACTTCAGAGGGTTTGTCGTATTTAGGGAGCCGGGTGAGAACAGGTGCAAAGCAGAGTTTTACCAAGGCCAGGGAAATGTATGCTGAAGCCAAACAAGTGTTTCCAGCAGAGACACCCCCCCCCCCCCCCCCGCAGTCTCTGATTCAATCGGCTCAGGTGTGAGGAGGAACGGAGCTGCCTCCTCGCCGGCAACCTTGCCGATCTCTGAGCTTGCCTCCGCTCCGCTCTCCGTTCCCTCGGATCAACTGGGGAAGGCAGCTGTTCTTGGTCAGAGGGGGATCTGCTGCCCCTCGTCCCCGCTGCCCGTCGGCAGCCAATCCTCCCCTGTGTTTGGGAAGGCAGGCGGCTCCCCGTCTGGCTAACCAACTCCCCCAGTGTTGGAGAGACCCAGGACAGCTTCGTCCTCGGCCCGGGGACTCTCCAAGACACGGCTATCCCTGGTTTGAACTCCTCCCCCTCTTCCTTGTTCGACTCGGGGTCCGATGGAGCCATTTCCTCTTCAATCTCCTCCCCCCAATCTCCCGGAGTTGGGAGCCCCCTGCCACGCACACAGTTGTGAAGACCCCCCTTCCCAGATTTCTCTTACGTCTTGCAGTGAAACCTTGCGACGGTTGCGGGAATTTCTGAGCTTCTGATCTTTCTTTCCAGCAAGTGCCGTCGTCCAACTGAAGAGTTCCCCGTCCTTCCGACGCCTCGAACCCTTGGCCGACTTGGTTTCCCTGAGCGTCTCCAGCCCAGCGGGGACCCCCAGTAACAGCCCTGAGGGAGAAGGGTCAGAGCCCACTTCCCAAGGCACATTTGCCCCCTGCAGTACTCAAGGATGGAAGGGGACAGGTGGGTCCATCGCTGGTGGTCCTCAACTTATGGTCATTCATTTAGTGACCATCCGAAGTAGCAATGACACGCCCCCCCCAAAGAGCAACTGACAACCGTTTCTCACCCGTATGACCGTTGCATCAAGCCCAACAGCCACAAGATCAAAATTCAGATGCTTGGAGACGGACTCCTACTTATGACGGGGTCATATGATCCCGTTCTGCGACTGTCGGGACGTCAAAGTCAGCCGATTCACTTAATGACCGTGTTTACTCTTTGAACCCCTACAGCAATTCGCTCAAAGAACTGCGGCAAGACAGGCCATAATGTGAGGCAAAAAACATCACTCCAGTGTTTCACTTAGCGACCTAAATTTGGGGCTCAATCGTGGTTGTAAGTCGAGGATTACCTGCACAAGAGTCATACACACCATTCTATTTAACAGTATAAGGGGAAGGGGGGTGTAGTCCCTTGCTTCATTGACGCAGAAATTGAGCTATAGAAATGTTAGGCTCAATGAAAACAGGCCGACCAAGGGGGAGGGGTGCGTGTCTCTGGCTACCGAATTGCAGAATTGGAAGGGACCTCGGAGGTCATCTAGTCCAACCCCCTGCTCCAGCAGGAGAATCCTATGCCCATTTCAGGCAAATGGCCTGCCCAATCTCATCTTCAAACGCCTCCACCTGCAACATCCCACTGAGTCATTTGTCTTGAATTAAAAGAATAGCAGCATCGGAAGGGACTTTAGAGGTCTTCTAATCCAACTTCCTACCTAAACAGGACCCTCCCCCCACCATCACAGACAAACGGCAGTCCAGTTTCTTCTTGGAGGCTTCCAGTGATGGAGCAACAACCACAACGTCTCGTGGCAAGCAGTTCCACTGGTTGATTGTCCTCACTGTTCGGACGTTTCTCCTTAAATCTAAGTTGCTTCTCTCCTTGGTTAGTTTCCATTGCTTCTTCGTTGCTTCTTCTCCTGCCTTCAGGGGATTTGGAGAATAGGGGGACCCCCTCTCCTTTGGGGCAGCCCCCCAAATACTGGAAAACGGCTATCATGTCACCCCCTAGCCCTTCTTTTCTCTACAGCAGGGGTCGGCAACCTTAAACACTCAAAGAGCCACAAAGGTGCTATCCAGAAGCCCCCTGTTAAGTTCTGGAGGTGACCGGAAGTCTGGTTCCCTCACCATAGAGTCTCCTCCTAGCGTGGCGTCCTTTTTCCTCTGCTGACCAGAAGTCCCGTTCCCCCCACCATAGAGTCTCCTCCTAGTGGGGCATCCTTTTTCCTCTGCTGACCAGAAGTCCCGTTCCCCCCACCATAGAGTCTCCTCCTAGTGGGGCATCCTTTTTCCTCTGCTGACCAGAAGTCCTGTTCCCCCCACCATAGAGTCTCCTCCTAGTGGGGCATCCTTTTTCCCTTACCTGTCCTAACCGAAAGCCCTATCGATTGTGGTGCCAACCAGAAAACCCACCCCTTGCCATAGAGTCTCCTCCCAGTGCACCATGCTCCCCCCCCCCCTAACCAAAAGCCCCCCCAAAACAGGAAGCTCCAGGGGGGGGCGAAAGAGCCACATGCGGCTCCAGAGCTGCGGGTTGCCGACCTCTGCTCTAGGCTAACCATACCCAATTCCTGCAACCATTCTTCGTATGTTTTAGCCTCCAGTCCCGTCATCGTTGCTTTTCTCTACACTCTTTCCAGAATCTTGACATCCTTTTTATATTCTGGTGATCAGAAATGGACGCAGGATCCCAGGTGTGGTTTTACCAAGGCATTAAAAAGTGGTACAGGTAGCCGTCGACTTACGAACACAATTGAGCCCCAAACATCCACCACTCAGCGAGACAGTTACGTTTCTTGATGCCGTCGTGCAGGGAATCCTTGTGGTTGATATGTGAGGGACCCAGTTGTTAAGTGGGGCAGAAGGTCACCAAAGGGGATCGTGAGATTCCTCCCTCCAGCCCCGATGACTGTCATAAGTATGAGTCGGTTGCCAAGCGTCTGAATTTGGATCACACAACCACAGGGATGCTGCAACAGTGGTAATTTTGGAAAACAGTCTTAAGTCACTTTTTTCCAGGCTGTTGTTACTTTGAATGGTCACTAAATGGACTGCTATAAGTCAAGGACTGCCTGTGTGAACTTTGGAAAATAGATCATATCAGACCCTTACAATCTCTCTTTCTCTCATTCTCTTTCTTTCTCTCTCCATTCCTTCTTTTCTCTCTCTTTCTCTCATTCTCTCTCTCTGTTGCTCCCTTTTCCCCTCCCTGTCCCTGTCCCTCTCTCTTTCTCTCATTTTCTGTCTCTCTGTTGCTCTTTCTCTCTCATTCTCTGTTTCTCCTTCCCTCCCTTCCTCTTTCATTTACTCTCTCTCATTCTGTCTATCACTCTCTCATTCTCTTTCTCTCCCTCCCTCCCTCCATCTCTCTCTCTTTCCCTTTCATTCTCTCTCTCTTTCTCCCTCCCTCCTCCCTCTCTCTCTCTGTCTCTGCCTTTCTCTCTTTTCTCTCTCTCTTTTTTTCTCTCTCTCTCCTTCCCTCCCTCCCTCCTTCTCTCTCTCCATAAGTTTCTGTGTTCAGAAAATCCTCGTTCAGCAACCACAATAGCGAAGTAGTCTGAAACACAGTCGGTTTTTTCCAGCACCGTTGTAACGTCGATCAATAGCTAAGCGAACCATGGCAACTTGAGGACTGCCTACACTAACACTTCAGGTGATCTTGATTCGAGTTTTGCCTTCCTTCCTTCCCATTGATGCAGACGCAGTGACCAACGTGGGGCCATCGACCGAGGAAAAGCTGGCTGAAGAGCAGCCAAAATCCAAGGAAGGCCTTCAGGGTCCTCGTCTCTCAACAGAGCAGAAGGACAGCCCACCCGTGGACCCAAGGCTGGATACCAATGGTGAGTTTGAGGGAGGGTCTTCGGCAGTGGTAGGATTCCAATTTTTTCCCACCGGTTCTATGAGAGTTCACTTTGTGCATCTATACGCACCTAACATGTGGTTTGTGAGTGCACTCAGCAATGAAAATATGCCCTCGGTCAGCGCTGTTGAGGTAAGTTGGTTTTTTTTAGTTCAGCTGAGGTGCGGCGATACGCTCTGCGTCATGAATCAGCTGGATTAAAAAACAGGGGAATATAGGACAGGATAGGGCAGAGGTGGATGGGGACGGGGCCAGCCAGAGATGGTATTTGCCGGTTCTCCCAACTAGGCAAAATTTCTGCTACCGGTACACCAGAACCGGTCTGAACCGGCTGAATACCCACCTCTGGACTCCAGGCCCCCTTGTCTTCTTCACCTGGCCCTTCCCACCCTTTCGCTGCAAAAGCGGGGTGAAAACTCGTGACTGTCAGGTCAATTTCCTTGCAGAGAGGACGGGTCGACCACAAAGGCACCCCTGGCCTCTGAAAGCTGGAGAGATGGGGATTCGAACGCAGGATCCAAAAAGAAAAGGAAAAAAAATCAAGGCTCAGGGCAGGGTTTATTTTATACGGTGCACTCAAGAGGAAATCCCTCCAGAAAATAATGGAAAGAAAGATACACTCATCTCTACGCTTATAACAGTATAGTTAACGACTGTTCCAACTGAAAACATCTATTATTCTGTTCTGTTCTGTCCTGTCCTGTCCTTCCCTGCCCTGCCCTGCGCTATCCTATCCTATCCTTCTGTTTTGTTCTGTTGTCCTGTCCCGTCCTATCCTATTCATCCATTCCACTCCATTTTCCTATCTTATTCTATCCTATCCTGTCCTTTGTTCTGTTTTGTTCTGTTGTCCTGTTCTATCCTTTTCATCCATTTCATTCCATTATCCTATCCTACCCTACCCTACCTTATCCTGTCCTTCTGTTTTGTTCTGTTGTCCTGTCCTATCCATCCATTCCATTCCATTCTCCTATCTTACTCTACCTTGTCCTATCCTGTCCTTCTGTTCTGTTTTGTTCTGTTGTCCTGTTCTATCCTATTCATCCATTCCATTCCATTGTCCTACGTTATCCTATCCTATCCTTCTGTTTTGTCCTGTTGTCCTGTTCTACCCTATTCTTCCATTCCATTATCCTATCCTATCCTACCCTCTGTTCTGTTTTGTTATGTTGTCCTGTCCTGTTCTATCTTATTCTTCCATTCCATTCCATTCCATTATCCTATCCTATCCTATCCCATCCCATCCCATCCCATCCCATCCCATTCTATCCACCTCCTTTGTTGTAAAGACTCTTCTGCAGATTCCAGCTGCCTGGACCAACCCCGTTCCTGCGGGGATGGAGGGACAGAGCAAGCCACATCACCAGGCCCTTCACGAAGCAACTCCGAGGCCAACAGCCGATCCGAGGATGGAAAGACGATGCCCAAGGCAGCAGCTGAGAAGGAACTGCTGAAAAGTTCTCGCAAGGCATCTCCAAAGTTCCAGCCAGGTTTGTCATTTGCAAACTTGGAGAGGGACGAAGTAATTATAACAGAATAATGGATGGGATCTTGGAGGTCTTCAAGTCCGCCCCTCCCACCGGGACTTGTCGTAAGTCGAGAACTTCTGCTCCTGGCTTCTAGTATTTGTTTCTAGATATGATATAGTTGCAATTCCTGAGACTCAGTGGGGATGAAGCCCATGTTAAATCTCTTGTTGTTGGATACAGCCCATTGTTCATGTCTGTCTAGATCTTTTGGGATCCCGAGCTCGTCTTCTAAGGTGTTGGTTGATCCTGCCATCTTAGTCAGTGGTGGGCTGCAACCGGTTCACGCCGGTTCTCACGAACCGGTAGTTCCAGTGAGCAGTTGGCCCTGCCCTTTCCTGTCCTCTATTTCCTAGTTTTGTAGCTCAGCTGATTCACGCGGCACAGCGGATTGCCACGCCGCAGCTGTTTTACTCACCAGCGCTGACACAGAAGGTAAGTTTGTAAGCTTAAAAATGGGCGGTTTTTGAATGCTGTGTGTGTGCATGAAGCAGGTGTTAGGTGCGTGCGTGTGCAAAGCATGCGCTCACAGAACTGGTTGTTAAACTGGTTGCAACCCACCAGGGATCTTAGTGTCTTCTGCAAATTTGATGAGTTCCCCTCCCATTCTCTCATCCAAGTCATTTATGAAGATGTTGAAGAGTACTGGACCTAAGACGGAGCCTTGTGGTACCCCACTGCTTCCTTCTTTCCATGTGGATGTAGTACCATTAAGGACTACAATGTAGTACCATTGAGTACGGTTTATCAGCCAGTTACAAATCCATTGGGTGGTGATGCTGTCTATCCACCATTTTTCCAGCTTACCGAGAAGTACGATGTGGTCTACTCTGTTGAATGCCTTACTGAAGTCTAACTATACTACATCTGCAGCATTTCACTACTAATTTTAAAGAATGTGTGATAACCCTTTGGGCATGGCACAAAGGCAACACAGTCAGATAATCAGTAGGAGTCCCTTTATTAGTTCCAACTTTGCCCCCAATGTCCTGGTTACCTTCTGGGCTGATGAGAAATTCTCCCAGGAACAGCCTTTGGCTGCAGAGAATCAAGTCCAAAACATGGTCAACAAAAACTGTAACTTTAAGTCCAATCAAACCAAACTGAGGTAATTAGTTTGGCAGGGTAGGAGCAAGAATTCCAGACATGAAGGCATGGCAAAACTCACGGTTGGAAAGATGCCAGGAACACAGATAAGCAATGACAACACAGGAGAAAGTCATGTTTGCTCCCAGCAGCTGCCACAGTCAGCATTCAGTTCTTATAAACTCTCATTTCCCAGGTGTGGTTAATGAAGGGAATCAGGGCCCTTTCCTCCTCCATAAGCCACGCAACCCACATTGCTCCCTTCTCCGTTCCTCCCTGCGTGCCCTAGGATGAAGATGTGGTGGGCCTTGGTCTTCCTCTGAACCCCTCTCTCTTGTTCTTCCTCTCCCCTGCTCTGCCCAGCCAGACTTTGCCCTTCCCCAGCCTCCTCCACAGCCAACAGAGCCACACTCCCACTCTCTGTCAGCTGTTCATCTTCCTCCTTGGATTCGGACTCCAGCAGGGGCAGGACAGAATGAAATAAGATTGGTTTGGCACAATCTCTTTTTAACAAACTGATGCTGGCTTCTCGCAGAAGTAGGTTGTGATCTACTCTGTCGAATGCCTTACTGAAGTCTAACTATACTACGTTTGCAGTATTCCGCTGGTCTACTAATTTAGTCACTTGGTTAAAGAATAAGATTGGTTTGGCGCGATCTATTTTAAACAAACCCCTGCTGGCTACTAGTTATAACTATGTTTGTTTCTAGAGACGATAGCGTTGCAATTCCTGAAACTTGATGGGAGGAAACCCGTCTTAAATGTCATTCTGTTGGATACGGTCCATTGTTCTTGTCCGTCCAGATTTTTTGGGGGGGATCCTGAGCTTGTCTTCTGGGGTGTCAGCTGTTCCTGCTACCTTAGTGCCACCCAAAAATTGGATGAGAGTCCCTTCTACTCCTTCATCTATATTGCTTACGTGGTCATTTATTTATAAATTATATTTCTTTCTTCCTCTCCTGTAGAAGCAGCACCTGAAGAGAAACCCCCACTTCAGGGGTTGCTGAAGTGCCTGAAGGATCTGGTTACCCTGCAGTCCGGCCGTGGCCCCCAACGCTTCCTTAAGGCTTCCACGGGGAAGCAGCCGTGGACCCCCAGAGTCGGGCGATGGGGAGGCAGGAGCGCTCCATTACCCATCCAAGGTGAGTCTGGATCCCAGCGGATTCTTTTACCTGATTGTCGATTCTCCTTGGACACCTACCTTCTGTTCTGGGACCAAACACAGCCCCCCTGCCCCCCGCAAAACGAATAGAGGTGGTCCTCGACATGACCACAGCTTTTCTGTTGCTAAGTGAAACATGTTTTTTTCCCCGCTCCATTTTACGACGTCTTTCGCCGCAATGGTTAAAAGTGAGTTCCCTGATGGTTAAGCGAACCTGGCTTCCCCGTTTGACTCCGCTTGCCCGAAGGCCGCGAAAGGGGATCCGTGTGACCATCATAAACATGAGTTGGTCGCCAGGCATCTGAATTTGGGTCACATGACTGTTGGGAAATGCTGCAACGTTTGTTAAGTGTGAAAAAAGAGTTTGTCGGTCTCTTTTTTTCAGCACTGTCGTAACTTTGAACCGTCACTAAATGAAATGTTGTAAGTTGGGGAGTACCTGTAATTAAGGCTCACTGTCCTGATTTTTTGTTTACTGCAGGATTTTTTTTGTGCGCTGCAGGATTTTTACTCCAGAAAAGAGCAACACTACGGTAACACAGGATCCACAGACAAAAGGATATCCTTTATAGTAGAATATAATAGTTTATAATATTTATACACTTCAGGAGAGAAAATGATGCAATCATACATAGAATAATAATAAAATATCACAATAACCCAATAATCAAATATTACAATACTGTAATAGAATGACAGAATAACAGAATAAAACTTTTGTAAATTCTTTCTTTTAACATTTTACCTTTTGTAAACTTTTTAATATCTTGAACATTAATAAAGTTTTGTTTTAAAATTAAAAAAAATAACAATAGCAGAGTTGGGAGGAACCTTGGAGGTCTTCTAGTTTCACCGAGAGAGAAGGAGAGAGGGAGGGAGAAAGCGGACCCTGTGCCTGTGGGAATATGCTAGGAGGAGGAGGAGGAAGAAGAGGAGGAGGAGGGGAGAGAAGAATAAGAAGGAGGAGGAGAATGAGATGGAGGAGGAGGAGACAGAAGAGGAAGAGAAGAAGAAGAAGAAGAAGAAGAAGAAGAAGAAGAAGAAGAAGAAGAGAATGAGGAGGAGGAGGAGGAAAAGGAGAAAAAGGAGGAGGAGGGGGGAGATAGAGAAGAAGAAGGAGGGGGAGAATGAGGAGGAGGAGGAAACAGAAGAAGAAGAAGGAGGAGGAGGAAAAGGGGGAGGAAAAGGAGGAGGAGGATAGGAGACAGAGAAGGAGAAGAAGGAAGAGGAGAATGAGGAGGAGGAGACAGAAGAAGAAGAAAAAGAGGAGGAGGAGGAGGAGGAGGAAAAGGAGGAGGAAAAGAAGGATGAGGAGAGACAGAAGAAGGAGAAGGAGGAGGAGAATGAGAAGGAGGAGAAGATAAAAGAGGAAGAAAAGGAGGAGGAAAAGGAGGAGTGGAGACGAGGAGGAGGAGGAGGAGAATGAGGAGAAGACAAGGAGAAGAGGAGGAGGAGGGGAGACAGAGAAGGAGGAGGAGGAGAAGAGAGAAGAGGAAAAGGAGGAGGAGGAGGGGAGACAAGGAGGAGGAGGAGAAAGAAGGAGGAGGAGAAGACAGAAGAAGAAGAGGAAAAGGAGGAGGAAAAGGAGGATGGGACACAGAGAAGGAGGAGGAGAAGAGAGAAGAAGAGGAGGAAGAGGAAAAGCAGAAGGAGGGGAGACAAGAGGAGGAGGAGACAGAAAAATAAGAGGAGGAACAGGAGGAGGAGGAGGAGGGAAGACAGAGAAGAAAGAGGAGGAGAAGAGAGAAGAGGAGGAGGAGGAGGAGGAGGAGGAGGAGGGAAGACAGAGAAGAAAGAGGAGAAGAGAGAAGAGAAGGAGGAGGAGGAAAAGGAGGAGGAGGGGAGACAAGAAGGAGGAGGAGAAGAGAGAAGAAGAGGAGGAGGAGGAAAAGGAGGAGGAGGAGGAGGAGGGGAGACAAGAAGGAGGAGGAGGAGGAGAGAGCAGAAGGGGAGGAGGAGGAGAAGGAGGAGGAGAAGAGAGAAGAAGAGGAGCAGGAGGAGGGGAGACAAGGAGAAAAGGAGGAGGAGGAAAAGGAGAAGGAGGAGAATGAGAAGGGGGAGAAGAAGAGGAAGAAGAAGAGGAAGAGGGGAGACAAGAAGAAGGAGGAGGAGAAGAGAGCAGAAGAGGAGGAGGAAAAGGAGGAGGAGGGGGGGAGACAAGGAGGAGGAGGAGAATGAGAAGGAGGAGGAGAAGACAGAAGAAGAAGAGGAGGAGGAGGAGGAAAAGGAGAAGGAGGTGAGACAAGAAAAGAGGAGGAGAATGAGAAGGAGGAGACAGAAGAAGAAGAGGAGGAGGAGGAAAAGGAGGAGGAGGAGGAGGGGAGACCGAGAAGAAGGAGGAGGAGGAGAGAGCAGAAGAGGAGGAGAGAGAAGAGGAGGAGGAGGAGGAAAAGGAGAAGGAGAGGAGACAAGAAGGAGGAGGAGGAGAATGAGAAGGAGGACGAGGAGACCGAAGAAGAG